CGCCAGCTTCACGCAGCACTGACCACAGGCCCCCAATGTATACAATGCTGCTGAATCAGATTTGCCTGTTGGAATCCACACAAAACTGCTAAAGAAAGCCAACCAGTACGAAAGAGATGTGAAATCTCTACGATTTTTGAACAACTCAAGACAAGTCAGGTGAATGTACGATTGGGTATATCTGAAATGGACATCAGCAACGAAATTTTCCCTCTGCTTTACCGACGTTGAACTTCGTCTTGGTCCAAAAGCCCAGAGAAATCACAACAGCAGCTTAGAGAAACTACTCTACAGAGTAAAGAGGGGGTTGCAGAGTTAGAGCCCAAAAATGCCGCATCAGTGCGAAAGTGAAAGCTGTGCTCAATGAAGGTACGCATGCCAGGTCCTAGGACCCTGAAAAGTTGAAATATGACCTAGACCAGATGAAAATGCCAAACTTGAGCCAACCTAAGCTTCTATTCACCCTGACGAGTTCAAAGGTCTTGTAAAAGACAAACAGTCAATATAATGATCAAAAGCATGTGGTAGCCTCCCCACTAAGAACTTGGAGATTGACAAAAGTGACACCATTGAAAGGGACCAGACAGAACAGTGTAGAAATCAACAGGCAAGCAATCTTGCAATCTTCCTTCTGCAGAAGAAAGCAACCCCATTCCCCACAAAGACGGAAGTCCACTCTCCTTGTCTACACTCTGACCAAGGAACTGAAGAGGTTTGATGTGATGAGGCCAAGCTGTGCCACACAGGGGAAAGAAGGGTTCTGACACCGGAACCAGCCCACTTTACAGTGCTAGAGGTAGTCCAGGCATTCAGCTATGCGTCCCAGCCACACCAGAGATCCTGAAACGTGCTGCGTTGGGAAGATAACTAACATGCCTCAAAAGAGAAATATGATTTCCCTGACAGGTACTCAACTCCTGGGAGCACTCGTACTGTCTGAGTAGCCTTTGAACAGTGTGAAAGATAGTGAGTCCTCCTAATTAGCGATGTGGAGCTCCAATGGCCGGACTTCCGCTCTGCACCAGCTCCTCGGGCGACACTTACGACGTAATGAAGCGAAAGCAACGATGCAGACAAAAATGGGGCTTTGATGAGTCTTTCGACTGAGATTTACGCAATTCTCTTTCTGTCTACAACTTTAAAATGTCGTGGGAGAATTGGGTGCATGAGACTCAGTAGCAGTGAAACCAGACAAGATATGTGTTCCACAGTGGGTCATCAATTAGCGGGGAATTTGACCGAAGGCATGGCACCAAAAGCAGACATCTACATGAAGTTTGTATCAAAGAGTCCAACAAATAAGCTTGCGGTTCATGATATGAACTGGCAGAGACGACTTCGTTGTTGTGAGATCAATGATCCATTCATCTTTGCATCAGAGGTAGGGTGTTGATATTAACACAAAAGATGGATACTAAAACTATAATTATAAATGTTCCTTTTCGTAGGAGGAAGGTACCGCTCCATTGCGAATATTTCTAGCGAGAACAGCGCTTGCACACGAGAGTTTGCATGGCAGAACCTACATCACTTCTTCAAGTATGTATAATTATGTGAGTGATATTAAAAAGGATTAGGTTTACACATTGCATAGAACACACTGCGGGAATGGAAGAAGTTCTGTAGCCAGGTGAAGTAACTTGGCCAGACCTACGGCCACTGAAGGATAAGAGGAGGCTTAATGTCTACCAGCAAAAGGCGATTGAGCTGGGCAGGGAGGAACAAATTCACCAGATTGCAAGGCCCTCCAGGTATAGATGTGTACAAGATCCGTGGGGGTAAAGCTTGCCATTGAACATACATTTGTAAGGCACAGGAAGAGTGTGACGGTCCATATTGCTATGCTCTTGCCATGAGGCTTTGCGCGGAGACTCGTACTGGGAAAGGACAATCAACAGGGTTGTAATGTACTGTGGCCCCAACACCAGCCGTTGTGATGTTGTGTACTGGGTAAGTTGTGCATTTTAGTTAGCAGTAGTGAACCTAAAGCAGTAGCTATAAGTATTCTTACTTGCATTTCAAAACAGAAATATTCCGTGAGCTATGCATAACCCCACGCCGGGCAAAGAGGAAAATAAAAATAATCGAGGTTTAGTTAAGGCTTTGGAAAGACAGACTTGCGTGGAGCTGAACTCGATGGTGACGATTTTTTACACATAAACACCAAGTGATAGTTGTGACAAAGGCCTGAGAATACGCCTGCACCACAGAATAAGAAGGAAAACAAAACAAATATTAGTGGAAGAAAGGCGATCCAAGAGTTGCACCGTGAGGGCAGAGGTCCCAGCGGTTGATGAATTGGCAATACAGGAAACTGGAAAGATGTGCAGAGAAGAAAGAAAAAAATAAAAAAAAAAAGGCTCAAAGTGGGATAAATATGTCTTTATGCCACGTTGCATGAGGCAGCCAGTCACGGACTCACAAGCACACTCCAGCCAAAGTACTTATTCATTGATGATGTGCCATGGCCACCGAGCCAGAGGTATGGTGCCCATCCGTAGAGATGAAACACGTGGTGTTTCTTAATAGGAGACCCACCAGCAGTTGCAGGCTGTATCCAGTCCACGGATGATGAAAAGATGGGTTGGGAAAATCTCTCTTTGAAAAGATATGACCACGAAAGGACATCCAATTCAGGTGATGAGACACAGTACAGACTGGTGAGTATGAGGTGCAAGTGTACTGAAGAATATAAGGGTATGCAGAGTCACTCAACTTATTCACGGTGCACACTCTAGCGAGTAGTATCTAATAATGAAACATCAATTGCAGCGAGAGAATGCGAAAGGCTGGCACAAGTGAGTTTTTTAGCGAGCGGAAGTGAGAGCTGGGCACACTGGTCGCGCATACACAAGTGCAAAGGTAAAATTACGGTATGTCAACCACACTATCGTTTTTGATACAGTTATCGCGTATTCAGATAGCCCACCTGCTCGCCAAATAGGATGGTTTTTTAGTGGTGCAGTGGTGGAAAGCAAATTGGCAGTAACCACTCATTAATGTAGGTTTCCGGAGAAGAAGTTGGGGCTTGCTGCTTACATGCTTGCCTCCTCGTTCCCAACCTCCATCTATCCACACCTACCCTTTAATCCCCCCCACCCCCCCCTCCTCACCTACGACCTTCGCTCCCCCCCCCCACCTCTACACACCCACCCCACCTTAAAAAAAACCTATCTCCCTGTTCGCACACCCTTTACCTACTTCCCGACACCTCACATCCCCCCCATCGTACGCGCCCTAAACCTACTGAACCCCCACCCCAACTAGCTCCTATTCCCCCAATTACTTACCCGACCCCTCGCCCCCTCCCTCCCATCACCCTTCCTACCACTTTCTCAACCCACACACATCTCACCACACCTCAACTACCCTCCCTCACCCGACCGCTAACCATAACCCTACTACCACCGCTTTCGCCTTCTTTCGTCCCTTCCACCCCACACTGCCGTCCACCCCCTCTAGCCACCTAATCCCAACACTCCCCCATTCCCCCTCGCACTACCTGACTTACCCATCTCACCCCAGCCTACAACACACCAATACCTAATGCCTTCTTACTTCTCCTACCCCCCCCCCCCTCAAACACACAGTTCACCTCCCTTTGAGCTCTAAGCCCCAGGACACAGTCTCCATGGAACTACTCGTCCTTGTGAATTCCAAACTGACAAACTTTCATATGTTGCATTCAGCAAGCATAAAGCAATCTAGTTATACACAAAGGTTTTAGGTAGAAATCAGTCTGAATAATGGTTCATCAACAGGCTGATTGAAAACCTTCACGTGTGCACATTACTTGCATCACAACCCAAGTACCAAGCATTAACAATCTTACTCTTCTTACAGCACCTGCAATATGCGAATTTCCTCAAAAGCATTCTACAATGGAAAGACTCAAAACAGATCCATCTGTTATGAGAAGACAGAGTGGCCTGAACTTGACCCACTTCTGGCCGAAACATGACTCACCCATTGTCTTCTGTCAAGTGGAGGAGAGGAAGAGACTGGACACATTGGGTCAAGAGGAAAGTAGCTCACAGTCAAAGTTCAACATGACAGAGGCCAAGAAAATTGTGAGTAACTCAAGAAATCCCTAAACCCTCATCCCATGTATTAAAATTCTCATCAGGTGGAGATTGCAGAGAAACTGGTCTGCCATTACAGAGTACCAACAGTTGGAAATAGCCATTCTGACACCTACTCAGCCCAGAAAGAGGCTATCAGTGAAGAACTGAAGAGAAAAATGAACAACAGAGAAGAAGGCAGGGAAGGAAGCTTAATGACAATATTCAAGTCAAAACTATTACTGAGAGTCAAGGTGAGCTTCTGCTGGTCAATGTTACTGCTCTTATGGTGATTATCACGATGTGTTTGCAGGAAGTGAGTATGGGGTGGTGTTACTGTCCACGGTGAGGTCTCGGAGGATGATGACAGGAGAGGAGGGGGAGACAGCTGACATTGGCTGGATCAGGAAGAACCTGGGGTTTGTGGCCGACCCCCACAGGATCTGTGTCGGAATTACACGCTCCAAGTTTGGTCTGGTCATTGTTGGTGAGTGGAACAACTATAGTGTAGAATGTACCTAGTAATTCACTGCTACTACAGGCAATGAGAATGTGCTCAAGTATGACAGGATCTGGAAGAAACTGATTGAGCACTACAGGAAAGGAGGGTGTTTTGTACGAGGTGATGACTTTCCACACTGAATATTTACAACTCTCATTGCCCATAACACTATAAAAATACATAGTTGTTTTACTCATATCGTGTGAAACTGAAACGATATAATATTTTTAAAATAGTCCTTTTTATATCTATTTTATAGTATGTTGTCTATAATATAGATGTCGTATCGTGTGAAACTTAAACGATGCTTTACTTAGTTAATATCTATTTTACCGCATTTTAAATAGTATCTTGAGTTTATCTTATCATTGTGTAGCTGTAACATCTTTTATATCCCATTAAGAAAAGTGATATGTTTTTAATATAAAAGTTACACTGCATAACTTTGATTGTCAGCTGTGAGTGCTTTCATGAGTATATCAATGTTCCAGCTGTGCATTGCGGACACCGGCAAAACAGGCAGTCTAGTCACCCGTGCCAGTGAGCTCATACTCTCATTCCCCACTCTGTCCAAAACATCCATCTTGTTGGCCACAACGAGTCTGGCACATTGGTTCATGCCAGGTTGGTAACAGTCTAGCTCGTTCTGTAGTATGCGTAGCTGAGTGACCATGTCCTGCCGTTGTTCTTTGTATGGTGGTTTTACTCATTGCATTTTTGTGATCACTTGGTTTGATTGTGCAGGTATGACCCTGTCATTAGAGAGAACTATGAGTGGAGCCAGTCTCCCAGCTCGTGGATACACACACGATTTTAGGTAGAAGTATTGTCGTGGAAAAAAAGGAAGAAACAAGGGGTCATTACACAGCAAAGTTGCACAAAGCTACATGACACCATCCCTATATCTTTGTTTTATTGCAAAGTTGAAGGGGATGTCTTCGTCGTCAGGGACGACAACCATCACCACCTTGTGCTTGTTGACACCGGTGTCTTTGTTCCAGTTGAGATTGCGAGCTGAGTACAGGGACCCCCCTTCCGTGCTGCCCCCCCACACCGCAAACATTGAGCTACATAAAGACAGCAGTAGAAACAGGTGCACGGTAAGATTATCACCCTCCACGGTAGCTTGGCCTCATTTACAAAGTATTTCTAGTCTTCCTCACGTATACCTAACGCTTGCTCAGCTTGCTCAAACGACACATTTGCTCAGTTAATATTTGGTCAACCTCCCAAAAATTTCTACCTTACGCTCAATAAAGAAAACTATTGTCAAACTCACGCATCAGAATGTACACAAAATCTTAGCAACAAAAGGTTTACCAAAGATTAACAGAAGGATGGAGAGATAGACATGCAACTATTTAGGCCAAAAATGCACAAAAACATACGGATGACATATAGACACAGCCCAAAACGATTTCATGGGACCTTTAGTTGCTCTCTACACTCCAGAGTTTAAAGAACATTGCAGAATGTAAACAACGGAGTTCATGTATGTGAACACATGAGATTCCTCCGCCCTCTCTACCCCCACAAATCTATCACGTGTCACTAACTAGGTGGTAAAGAAAGCTAACCAGTAGTCTACGCCCAGAACAGCTCAGGAACTGCCCTGGGTGGGATTCGAACCCACAGCACTCTGCAGTCTAGGTGAGCGCTCTACCAGCTGAGCTACAAGGGCAACTCTTCAGCTCAAATCTTCAACACAATATGACTAAGCAAAAGCGAAACCTTGAGTAACTGCTCTGGCAGAGTACAATCTCACTCAAGTAACTATAAGGCATCTGCGAGTTGTTTCTCATTCAACCCCCAGTGATTTCAGGCAGCCAACTAACCTGTAAGTCTCCAGGAGCGTTGGCCAGCTCTGTTGGTGTAGTTCCCACACTCTGAGCACCCGGCCGCCTTACTCCCATCAGCCAGTCCTTGCAGCTCCGTCTTGTACTCCACAGGCAGCTCCTTAGACTAGTGTAGGGAGAATTAAAGGGAGAGTGGGGGCTACATTTAGAAATGTTAAAGATAGAAGATAGAATAAAACAATAGGGGCACAGTGAAACAATGTAACTGAGTTCTTGGTTTTAGTAAAATTTATCCCTTATATACTGCCACATTCCTCCTTTAACACATTCCCCGTTTAGATAAATGCAAGTCTGTTATACACTTGGGACTAGAATTTGTAATCTCAGCAGTTGTAATCTTCACCCACAAAGAATGATAATAGGTAAACCTTGTCTACATTCATTTTGCATTGCAATTAACTCAAACGACAACAAAAAGATGCATATTATATATATACGTACCTCAGAAATAGTAATTTCCAACATGCACTTTATATTAACAGGGACTTACCAGATAATCTGTCCACTGCCAGTCAAGGGCCAGTGCCATCAGTAACTACAGAAGATGACAAGCAAGGCTCGGATGTTGTATGACATGCACAAAAACTGTGTATTGGCCAAGTGACCTTTGCTACTGTGTTTTTCGTTCAGTTTATTTTATCATTCGAAGTGAGCAGAACAGGTTTTCACACCTTACATTCTCAAGTTTGCATTCACCAAAACACACAGTGTTATGGCCACGTGATCTTATGCTACTGCATAGCATAGCAGGTGCACTTCGTTCAGTTATTATTTTCATTCAAAGTAAGCAAAACAGATTTTTACAGCTTATGTTCTCAAGTTTGCATTCACCAGGACTAATCAAACAGTGTGAAGTACGGAAATTGAAAGAACAAATATATATAGTATTGGCCCCAATGAAAGAAACCCGCTGGTACGTACAGTACTATTCAATGCGTGTGCCCAGTTTGATCCATACTTAGCTAAGTTTACATTTACACCAAATCTATTATACTGCATATGCTATGACAAAGACTCTGCTAGACTGTGAGACTGTGTGAATTAGCGATGCTTCACTTACTTCATCATACCCAGAAGGCTCTTCATGAGTGACTGGTAGTTTTCAGCTATCTCATTGGCCAGCAGATAGCCATATCCATACTCAATATCTGCAACATAATTCGGTGTTTAAATGTGAGACACAAACACGTAGGTAAGGCTCTGCATCATTGTCCTAAAGCTACAACAATCCAGCTAAATGCTGGAAGTCAGAGATCTAGATTGAGCTTTATAAATCTGCCGTAAGAGCTACTTGATACGCAGTTCACTGACACAAAAAAGACATAAATCGTGAGCCACTCACAGTACTTGGAGCCAGGAAGATGGATCAGTAGTCGTAGGTCGTTTCCGTCTCGATACGATACAACGAGCAGTTGGCCCAGGATCGCAGTTTTGTGTATCCACTGGGCGTCACCACATCCAGCGGCAGCTCCGTTGTTGAAGGAGATCAGGAAAAGGGTGGCCAGCTTCACCATCTTTTGTGCGCGCGTGAAGCGCACTCAGCCACACCCTCCGCACGTCACTCTTCACGCATGCGCAAACCGCTGTGAACGAACAAACTGTTGAGCCCCACCCCTCTTTAGCATTTCTTTCTCCTTTTTTGACAAATGGCTGAAGGTAAGCTTGCTATTTGGATATGTAAACACCCGCTAGGGAACATACATTGATACAGCTTCAGCTGTGGACGAGACGCTAACTCCAGACGATGCCGTTGACGTGTTGAATGAACTACTGCCTGCACAGAACAAGTCATACGAGCTGGGGCTCAAGTTGAAACTCCCGCAGCACGTCGTGGAGGCCATTCACAAGGAATCACCGTCCGACAGGTGTCTGCTTCAAATCCTGATCAAGTTCTTGCAGCAGGCGGAGCCCATACCCACGTGGAGAGTCATCGTAGATGCTCTCAAGAATCCCGTAGTCGGTCTAACGGCTCTGGCTAGGAGAGTTGAAGCCGCTCATTTCCCTGACTCTACCGCAACACGTGATGTCGTACCTGAGACTACTGGTAAGTCACCATCAGCTCCGCTTTTTATAATCACTTATGTCTCTATAATCACAGCGTCTGCAGCCAACACTACTGCTGGTGATAATGATACGGTTAAGAGAGACCAACCGTCTCAACCTGCTGCTGGCCTAAAACCATACCGTGAGTAATTCATGTATTTGCCATAATATTATGCGACGTGTGATTAAAAATGACAGGCACGCCTAAGGAGATTAAAGATGATATTGATGTTCTTGAGTGTGAATTTAACAGTCTAAAAAAAAGAGCTATAAATTTGCTTGAAGCCAGTACACTTGGGGTTAAAGATGTTGTATATGAATTAACTACATTAAGTTCATCTGAAATAGACCAATACAAAGTTTTCCTCAAAGAGAAATCAAAGGAGCTTAGAAAAAGTGAAGATAACTTGGAATTATTCGGTGAACTTAACCTCCACTGGACATATCTTTCTCCACATTTTCTGAAACACCTTGTCAACAACCTTTTGCCCCTAAATGAAATGAAAAGTGATATGGAAGCCTATATGAATGAGCTTCATATTTTTCGTGAACGAACGCCATTAGACCTTTTCTGCGAGGTTGATAAAAAGTGTATTGAGCAACCAGATGGATTTCAGAAGGTTGTGACCAAGTTTAAAGATGTCAAACCAACAAAAGAAAAGCTAACTTTACAAGACATTGAGGATTTCCGGCAGCAATATGGGGGTTCCTATCAAACTCCGTGACTTTGCCATCATGCTAAGAGATGAAGTCAAGAAAATGTCGTTCATTGTTACATTCTTTGTCCCAGACTCAGTTATTGAACTCTTAAGCACTAAGGTCCCAAGGGAATTGCTTCTAAAGTTTGGGGTTACAAAACTTGATGTTGCTGGAACGTGCCTTTATAGTGATGAAGCCACACATGCAGTTAAATCATCTCTGACCTCAGTAGGTGAGTCTTAATAGAATTGTATACCCTGACCATCAATTATCATACAGGTCAATTTACTAGCAGAGAACATGTTCAAGACAAAATAAAGGAGCTGGAAAGAAAATTCCTAGCGCTTAAGAGAGCCACTTTCGAAAGCCTGGAGACACACCACATTCCAGCGGAATCTGTAACTGACTCTCTCAAATCACTCTCACCTGACGACATTAGTGAGCACAAAATGTTCTCAGATGATCAAATGGATGTTCTCGAGAAAGCCGACAATCAATCTATGCTCATCGGACAGTTGGACTACAACATGGACTATCTCTCCTACCACTTACTGGATAGTATCGTCGATACGTTTGGGTTGAAAGAGGTTAAAGCCCAGATGGAAGGATACAAGTCAGAACTAATGCAGTTCAGAATGAAGACACCACTTGTTTTGTTTTGTCAGAAACAAGAGAGAAAGAGAATCAGGCTCTCCCCAGAATATGAGGGGGTGGTTGCAAAATTCGACATGAAAGATAATATAACTCTTGAAAATGTTGAACAGTTCCGATTAGCATATTCTTCCCACTACAAACTCCAGGACTTTGCGATGATGATTACTGCAGTTCGTCCTGGTTCGTTCGTCGTCACCTGGCAAGTACCAAGCTGCATTGTCGAGAAATTGAAGACAAACGCCCCGAAAAGTATTCTCAAGAAATGGTTTGTCAAAAAACTGACCATTGCTGGCACCTGTTTCTATGAAACCGAGGTATTCATGCTATCTTTGAAATTGGTATATCTTCAAGTTTTGTCTCACACAGAATTCACTCGGTGAAAAGCCTCTCAGTATCGACAGTGCTGCACCTACAAATGAGGGGTGGGTTCTAATGCTATTCATTGTGCGCTACTTTACTTTACTATGTACTTGTTTTGTTGGTCTTTCTCAAATTCAGCTCCAAAACAAATGTCACCAAAGCCAAGCCACTGCCTGAGGAAGATTTTGAATTTGTAGAGCAGCCACCTAGTGACTTTTTCTGTCCAGTCAGAAAGTGTCTCCTGCTCCATCCTCACCTCACTTCATGCTGTGGTAATCATCTATCAGAGGAAGCTGCTAGCAGGATAGAGCGAGAGGGATGGCCATGTCCGCTGTGCAGGGAGGAGGATTGGAGCACATGTTGGACAAACACTTTCAGCGTCAAGTAAAATCACTGAGACTCTATTGTTCTCACAAGGACAGGGGGTGTGGCTGGCAGGGAGAGCTGGCTGCCTTTCACTATCATGTGGAGTATTGTCGAATGAGAGATGGTCCACCCATGACTGAGCTAGTGAAACTGCCAGTGTAAGTTTGTTGCATATCCTGTCATGTCTATTACCAATGGTTGGGCTGTTTCTACCGACACAGTGAAAACACATTTTATGGAGACATTTCCGAGTCTGCATCACAAACATCTCTGGTAAAACTGCATGGAAACAATTAGTAGTATTATAACTCATAACGTACTGCCAATATACACATTTGTACATGCACAAGTGCCAGAAAACAGGTAGGGTCTGTCATGGGCTCTGTGCAATAAAGAATTCCGGTTTGTACTTAATTTACTCTGTTATGTTACTGAGCGTATGATATAGGCTATCTAACAACAGAAAAGCACAATTAATGTGCTTCAAGCAGAGAGAGTGCATGCGCACATGTTGATTTATAGGTGTGGCCAAATGACCCAATGTTTGTAGCAGGATTCTCCGTTCATGATTGTTTAGCCACCTTTCAAAGTTACTCAGGCACCTAGCTACATCTCGAGATCTGGCGATTTTATATATTCTTTGGAGACCAGGAAAACAGACATACCGACCGAAAACATAACCCGTTGCATGCATGCGCACGCAGGTAATAATGGGACTGTGTGTATGCCTAAACTGGTGTTTTGCAGCTACACATGGGTCTGTAGTAGTGTCGTATGATAATTATGGTTGCATGGTCACACCTTTCAAGTTTCGCAGAGAAATGTTTCCGGTGTTTGCTGCTTAGGCATCCACCCTAACTAGACATGTATGTACATGTGTAACGATGCAAGCCGACAGCTATCTCTGCGTAATAATCTTCACTGGAAGTATTTCCACCTGTCACAACCAGGCTGTCACTGTTTAGGGCGGCGGAATTGTATTGTGGTGAATTCACGAAATGGTAAAATCGCACACAGCGCCAATTCGCTGGCACGCATGAATTTAACGGTTACTATAAGGCTGACATGGTGGATTGGACATTGGAAATAAGGCCACCACAGGAGTCAATCTGCCCTCAGCCATTGGTAGTGGCGACATACCTGTCACAGCCACTGTGACTTGCTGAGGGGCTTGTGTTAAACAAATCCCTTTCACAATTGTGGGCACTAGTGGCTGCATCATGTGCAAGGGCATGACTCAGACACCCTTCTCAGTTGGGCAGTGTCAACTCTACAACACTTGCAAACTAGGAGGTAAGTCCCCTAGTGATGTTCCTATCACCTCATCAATGACAGCCATGACTAATGCAAGAGGCTAGGAACATCACTCATAGCAGGCAGCAGCGCAGGCTGCACCTAGTTTGCGACTAGTTCCTACTATTTCTCAGCATGTGTGATGGGCACAAAGTACTCACACAGGGTGACTTCTCCTGTAGTATACAGTCAAGGGCCATCAGTGGTCAGCTAGAGGGCACGTTGAGCCAGAGCATAACCTTTGCAGTCTAGGCCAACTGAGAAACCTAGATATAATTCACAAGGAGTGCTTTTTATCTCTGTCATGACCGAGAGTGTGCAGAGCAGTGGTAAGTTCATTCAGTTGACACATTCCTTTTAATAATGGGTTTGGATAGAGGACAGCCCTGTAACTAATGTATCTAATACTACTGACTATTGAGACCCCGTAATGGCCCATAGAGGTAAATCCCCTGGCTATTCCGTGTTCTGTTGCCAGCTAGCTCTAAAAGACAAGTATGTACACAACCTCATGCCAAATACAACAGTTAATTCCCATCCAAGAGGTTAAGACCCCAATTTGATTAGGTAGCAATATAGGGCTGTCATCTTTTCCTAATGTAGAGCCAAATACTACAGCTACACATGTTCCTGATTTCTCTATACATCATGTGCACAGGCTCAATGGTACAGTCCTTAGAAACTACGTCATTCATTGGCTATAAATAGATTCATACCCTACAGGTAACAGCAGCCTTTCCCACTAAGAGCATAAAAGAGAGAGCCGATTGTCTTCTGCAGTATAGTGCTGGCTCTTGGGAATCAGAGCCTTCCAAGTACTAGACAGTGTTGGTGTTAGTTAATGACCTCCTGCTGGGACTTCTGTGGAGTATATCAGGCTCCCAAGTATTCACAGATACTTGCAGAATATCTAGGATTCATCTGTATCATTACCAAAAGAGGTTAGAGTCGAGAAACAAGCTACAAGGAGAGGTAGGAAAAGTAGTGCTGTGCCTCTTCCATAGAGTAGAGATACAAATGGTGATGTATTCATGTCACACATGGAGCTCCTTGCATAGGAGCTTAATGTGAGGCACTAATGTACTTGTATCATAGCTTGTGGGTAGTGATTAATTTTGAGTGAATATGTTGTAACAATGGTGCTCTACAACACTTGTATTCACATACCAACTCCTTAACAGTTATTTCACAAGACACCTTGCACAGTGAGCATTGTGATAACTGGTGGATAGAGCGCGCTCCGCCTGAACTGCAGAGTGTTGTCAGTTTGAATCCCACTCAAGGCATCTATTTAGGGACTTGTGCTGGGTGCTTGCAGCATTGTCATATCAAAACACACCACTTGCGTATGTCCTGTGGGTTTTGTTTGGGTTTATCTGTGCACCCCGCACAAACAAGTGTAAAGAATTGGGAGGTATGTGTTACCAGATGTAAATGTGCAAGAGGAGATATTCATTCATGGGTGTAGTTGACTTGTTTGCTGTTTCTTTGCCTTTCTATAGCAATACCTCATAGTTTACACGTGCATAATTCTACTGGTCAGTCAAAGGTGTCTGTATTCCGGAAGATTCAAATTACACGAAATATTTCCCCAATTTCTTGCAGCTATTCATGAACTGACTATGCATGTTGTTATCTGGGAAATTGCTGAATTCATACCAATTACACTTTCTGCTGTACAGGAAGCCCTTTTGAAAGAAATTTCCCCTGCAGTTTCTTAGTGGGCCAAAGCTGTACAAAAGAAGATCTGTTGTACCTGGAAGCAAGCTACTACCAAGTATAAGAATTGTTAATCATACCCTATAACTAGAATCACACCTCCTGTTGTAAGTAGCAAGCAGCACTATTCAAAGAATCAGTCAAACTTTCCCCCGCAGTTTCTGTGTGGGCCAAAAGCTGTATAAAAAGCGGATCTGATAAGCAGAGTCTATGTAGTGTCTACAGACTGTTTCTCTAGCCTTTCATCGGTAGCTGTCAGTCTGTACTCTGAGATAGAGCAGTTCTTGGGTACTTTTGGGCCCGCTAGTGAATCTAGAACACAGCCGGGTATTTGAGGTTTGTCACAAAAGGTGCAGGAGTTATCTAAGGTATATACAACTACGGGTATTGAAATATATCTCAGGGTCTATAAAGCTGTGTTCTACTGGCACACTATCATATCTACTCACTCAGAATGAAATTTAACATGTTCTCCTCTCCCATCCCTGACAGGGAGGAGAGATGGAGGTGGTGGTGCCATGGGAGCACTGGGTGTGCTCTCAGTGTCTGCTGGAAAACCCTCATGCTGTGTGGCTCATCAAGTTGAGATGTTTCAAACCACACCAACATCGCCACCAGTATGGGG